TTTTGTGAATTTAAAAAAAAACCCCCTTCGAATTCTACAAAAACAGCCAAAACCCAGGCCCGAAAAAATAAAAAAAAAAAAAAAAAAAAAAAAAAAAAAGGAAATTACAGGGCAGTCTGAGGATCATTCTGTTCTTTTTTCTTTTCAGTATTTAAGCTTTGTCTCAGAAAATGTACCTGTTTCTTTAGAACCCAAATATATATATATATATATTTATTTATTTATTTTTTTTATATACTTTGATATAATCTCCTGGTTCTTTATAGGGACTCGTTAGTGCTGTCCATCCTGAAACATCCAATCAAATATCAATCAACAGGGAATCCCATCTGTTCCGCCTTATAGTCTACTGCTATTGGTCGTGTTCCAGTGCTATATGCAAGGCAGTGAAATGCAGCAATCTATGGGCTCTAAAGAGAGACTTGTCTTTGGAAATCAGTTTGAACACAACTTAAGTGCTGAAGACATGAATGGAAATATACATCAAGGCGAATAAGGTTTGACAGCTGGAAGATGAGACTGGAGAAGTCAGTGTCTGTTCAACAGCTTCCTTTTAGTGCTGGAGAAGGAAAGCATTTGATGTTCAGCGCTCACCTAACTTCCATTAGCTATTAAGGAAACTAACGGGAGACAGTCACTTGTATGAATTAGTCAAGCTAGTTTATTTTTAATGCAATTCCATTTCATATTTGTTGCGTTTGATCTTTCATTTATATATTGCGGATTTAATTTGTTGTGTATTGTCAACTTTACCAGTGTGAGCTGATGCGACAGGAAATTCTGTTAAAATGGGTGAGAATCAATCATAGTCTGAAGTCAAGCACCGAGTCAAAAGCCTTTTTGACTTCATAATTGACTGGGGCATCTTAGACAACATGCTATTCCAGTGAGGAAAAATAATCTGAATTGTCTGTCATTCACCGACTGATCATCAATGCATGAAGATAACACATGAAGACAATACAGGCATAGCACTACAATATAGCCATAACGTTCAGTACATGCCCAGCTAGGAAATGCCCTGTTTGAACAAAAATAATAACCAACACAATTTTAAAATTCATAGGAAAGAGTAAGAATATTGAAATGTTGGGACTCCTTTTAATTCTTAACCTTTAGGGAAACGAACACCAGTTGCTCCAACATCTCCTGCTAATGTCAGTATCCCCATCTAACCCATACAATAACTGAGAGGGGTAATCAAAGTTTTTGAAAGATGTGGCAATTTAGAAAATTACCAATGATGTGAGATGCTATTTAAAAAACATGTTTGTGGGCCTAGCACTGAAATATTTACTCTTGAAGGTTTCTATGGCAACTTGTATCAACCTTAAAATCTTTTATGGCATCCACTTAAAAAAAAAAAAATCAACACCAACCTCCTACCCCATTACAGAATTCACTTCTATATTAAGTTAATATCTATTAAATTACTTACTCAGGACATAGAGAGAAAGAGTAATCCCTGCAAGGCAGAAGCCCTCAAAGAAACGCAAGGTGCTGAACATGGTGACATTGACAGAAAAGGCCACCGTCAGACCAAACACCAGCATAAACAGCACCGATATGATCAGCACTGGATGTCGGCCAAACCTAAAAGAGAAAGACAAATATCATTGTAAACATGGCTTCAATTGCAGAGATTGACATTTTAAAAAGAATGTAAAAAATATATATATATTACCAGTCTGCCAGTATCCCAAATACAAGGTATCCAAAGATTGACCCCACCAACAGAGAGAACTTTGCGATATGGACTCTCCATTTCAATTCACACACCAGACACCACTGTAGAAGAAAAAAAGTAGTAAGACTACAGTCAATAAAAGTACAGTTGTACAATGAATTAATGTAGTTACTGATATTTTATGTGAAGCTAAAGTAGAATATGGCGTTTTTTTTTTTTTTTTTTTCATATATATATGAACACAAACACACACATCAGCAGTCAGTAAAGCTTGCTGCAGATTTCATTGTAACATGTATTTCACAGATATCTGTGCTGGTAAAGACAGAATTAAACAAGGGTGTGGCTGCAACAACAGGTGCATTGAGTGTGTGGCTAACGAACAACAATCTCAGGCCTGCCTCGCAACCACTGCCTTTGACAGAAAAGATACAACATAAACAGTGATCATATGCCAAGAACATTTGTAGACGTTTTGCAAAACAATCCCACAAGAAACTGACATACAAAGTGTGGTCGGTTCCACGGTTTCCATTGGAAACAACTTTCTACCACCTCCAGACACAGTGATAAGTACAGATTGGAATGCTTCGGGATTACCCACAGCCAAAGCAGCCCTCACATGACCCAGGCATGGTACTTACTCATGGTTTCAGTTTCAATGTCAGCAGACAAAAAGACAAGACGCGTGCAAAAGAAATGCCTGTTTCGCAATCATAGGCATGCCGTTAAAAAAAAATATATAAAAAATAAGAGAGAGATAGAAGCAGAGAAGCTTCCCTTCTCTGAGACTGTAGTACAACGTACATGAAATGATGAGTGTGAATTCACAAGGATCCGCCCTGTGTAACCCTAGAAGTTTACTGACTGTGCAAATCAGACGTGCCATAGACCATGGACATATAACCAAAGGAGGCACAACACAATCAACAGCAATCCTCAGTCACATGCCGCATTCCCCCCCACCCCCTCAAGTGTTAAGTGATCTTGAAATGTGTCACCGGATTAGCAGAGTATGGCAGGTTTTTACTGCAGAGCTTCATTAACTTGCTGTGTTTTTAAGCATCAGCCAATTAGCGTGCACCATCAAAAATGTTTCTCTGCAAGCCCTTCTTCATTTCAGATGCAAAACCTTAATGGGCTTCCAAACTGGGGGAAGCAAAATATCTAACCTATTTAGAAAGCCATAAATCCATAAAAGATGAATTCTTACATTACAATATTGATTATTATTGTTAGTTTAAGTTTTATTATTTTGGGAATAAATTAACAGAAGTAAAAGTCCTCAGTTGTTTTAATGCATATTAAACGCTAACCTGAAGGAAAACAAAGGACAGCAGAGAAGAAAAACTATATAAATGCTCTCTTTTGACCCATCTCAAATGGCTGACCATCTATGTAATGGTCAGTCTAGGCCAGCAATACTCAGAAGATATTCTTATGTCACAGCTGCACATATGTGCACTCGTTGAACTACACAGTGGTGGGTGGAGGTTTCTAGGGAGAGAAAGAGCAGGCCTGGAGGGAAGGAAGGATAGAGAAAGGAGGCAAGCACAGCAAGAAGGAGAACAAAAAGGGACAAACAAACTTGTAAAAGGATGAACAACTTGTAAAAAATGATGCAAGTGGTTCAGAAATTTGAAAAAGAAACAGTGAGGGGGAAAAGAGACGCTTAAAATTTGTTGTGAGGAAAAGGCAGAAAACCAGGAGACTGCTGCATAGTTACTGCCTAGCAACAGAGGTTATCTGACTCAATCTGCTTCCAAGTGCAAGTTTTAGCACAGCTGCCACAGAGGGACTGGAATCCCATAATATGGTGGCAGCATATGTGCATTGTAGAGATAGAAAAGTATTCATACCCTTGACCTTGTCCACGTTTTTCACATTAAAACTACAAACTTCAATATATTTTATGCGGATTTCAGAATGGACAAATACAAACTAGTACAATGTTGTGAAATGGAAGAAAAATGATAGTTTGTTTTATTTGGATGAAGAAGAAGAAATAGTGGTAAAAAGTAGTCAGTATAGCCCTCCTGGGTCGCCACTTTACAAAACCATGTCTCCTGCCTCTACTAACCTAGATCATCTGCAAATGATTTTGAGCAGTCAGATTGAATGTAGACTATTAAAACTGCCATTTTTTGCATTTATAAATACATTAAATGCTTACTTTGGCCATTCTAGCCATCTAAAACAGGGGTCTTCAAATCTAGGCCTCAAGAGCTGGTGTCCTAGACCCTCTAGAAGTGCATCTGCTTCAACGCGATAATGAGGTCTTTAGCAGGATTCTGAAGAACTTGACTGCCTTCTGAGGGGGTAATTAATTCAGCCATTTGATTCAGGTGTGTGGACAAGGGACACATGAAAATTACAGAACACCAACCCTCAAGGCCTGGATTTGAGGACCCTTGATCTAAACTATTCCATTGTAACTTCAGCTGTATGTTTAAAGCAATTGTCCTGTTAGAAACTAAACATTTATCACAGTGTCAAGGTTGCATCTAAAAAGATTTCTTCCGGTATTTTCTTTTATTTATTTATTTTTTTTGTTCAATTTTCCTGTCCCATTATGAATAAAAAAATCGTCACAGCATGATGATGCCACTACCATGCATCACCATTGACTTTTTTTTTTTTTTTACAGTGATGCAAAGTGTTCATTTCATGTCACACTTGAGAGTCTGAAATGTAGGTCAGAACATTCAGTTTTGGTCTTATCTGATCAGAGCACCTTCTGTCACATGTGTGCGGTGCCCTCAATAAGGCAAATGTTAAACAGAACTTGATATGGATTTTTTTTATTTTTTCAAAACTGGCATGTTTTCTCACTCATAAACACCTGACAGCATCAAATATGCAAATAGATAATTATATTTCACTGATATATATAATTTAAGAGTTTGTCTCTGAAGAAGGCTGGTTGTACTGAATTTATTTAGGGGTAACAGAGTAAGATATTCTGAATACAAATGCATGACAGAATTATCTTTCAATTTATTTATTTTTTAAATATATCTATAATTTCCCTTATGTTTTACGACCATGAGCACCATTTTGTATTTATAACATAGTAGTATATAATCAGACCAAATCACAATAAAATACACTGAAGATTCTAGTTGTATGACGATGCAGAAAAGTTCCAGGTTTACTGCTTCTGCAAAGCAATGCAAGACTATAATCACATTTTAATATTAAGTGAAAGAAAGAAATAAAACCTTCCCTTTTTAATTCCTGAGCACTACCTTTTGAGGCAAAAAGGAAAGTGTATAGTCACCTCTGATGAGGCACGTGTTTTAAAGAAGGTTGTCAGATGACAGCTAGATTTTCTTGCTATCAGCTGCGACAGATGGCAGAAAAAAACAAGAAACCTTTGTCTGTTATTTTCACGCTCAGACCCTTCTGATGAAGGCTGTTGTGTTTAACGGATCACTGTTACCAACAAGATTTTCTGTGTACGAGAAATTAAACAATCTAAATTCCATTGCACAATCTTCAAAAACAACCTTATACCATGGTCAAGGGTCAGACCCCACAACGTTCACGCCTGCTTGTTACAAAACAGCACTTATCAGAACCAGGCCCACAGCACACACTCTTGTTGTCACACACGCACACACACACACACACGGTGCCTCAACAGGGGTTTTATCTTCTGGTCACAAAAATGCCTTTTCCTGTTACAGCTGACGCAGTGAGAGTCTGTCGTTGAGTGTTGGCTGGGTAACTGCGGAGGGGTCATCACCTTTCCACGGCTGAGGCCTTCTCAAAGGCCTCAACCTCAGCCGATCCAGGGTCAGCATAACAAGTCAACCAGCTGGGTAAACAACACAAGGGACACAGAGCGGAGAGGCCTCCGAGGGTGTTAACCTACAGTATCATCTTTCAGATCCATGAGTGTGCAATCTACTGTACAGCGATACCGGGGCCGGGTGTACCCACAAATGTGCTCCCACAGTTTAAATTTGTATTCAATTTTAAAACTGCCTGTAGCATATCTTATGTTAGATAAAAATGAGTGTGGCTGGCATTATCAAAACAGAAGTCTGAGTGCATTTCACAGCAAAGTAGTTCTCAAAGTTTTGATAATGTATACCACCTAAGTAAAAACCAGATGATCAAAAACCCACATTGTTTTTAACAGAAGGCACAACAGAAGATGCAGTTTTCAGTTTTCTTAAAAGGTCCGTAGCTAATGACTAGAAAACTAAAAAGTAATCCTTTTTACTTCCATTCCAGACCTATAAGCACACCCTTTTGTCCTTCGCTTAACCCATTACATTAGCTTATTAGTCCTTGTAGTTAAGTATTTTTGTACAAATTCTCTCCTTTCTCTTTGTTACAGCTACAACATGATAGCTCATCAAGTTCATCAGTTGAAATTCAGCAAAGTAATCAATACAAAATTAAATTATAACAATTTTTAAGTTAAAAGATGATGTTAATCATTACAGAATCATCCCCAAAATTACAACGGTCACTGTCAGATGCCTATCTGATACTTTCGATTTGAAAATTATTTCATTTTAGAGGCTAAACTTAAACGTTTCTCCTCCTCAATATCAGTCATAACTTTAAAAAAAAGTTGATAACTACACTTTTGGCAACCAAACACATCTGATCATCTGGCAAATACTACATTCTAGGAAAGAGGTCAATATGTGGTTCCAAGAGATTCCCAGGTCACTATTTCAGGAAACTTGCTACCCATCCGAATGGGCGCTCAGCACCTCGGCTGTACAGAGACCGACTCTTGATAATGATAAATTCTCATTTCTTAGCTGCAGTTCAATTAAGAGGGACTCCTAGGAGAGCTCTGACTCAATTAGGATGGGTTTCCACATTAACCACAATGGATCCGCCTCTGCCGCCTCCTTGCCAACCTCATTTCTGTGTCACCCTTAGACCAAAAAAAGCTAACCGAGAACTTTTAGTGTGGGATTAACAGATCATTGTGAGGTTACATGTGTTGATTCACTTTAACAGAGACACTGACACATTTCATCAGCCACTATGCTTTTCAGGGATTGTGTGTCACTGAGAGCTGAGGCCACTCATGTGCAGTTATGTCAATGCAGTCCAAACAGAAGGGGAAATG